GGTGGAACGGGTTTAATCATTATTATTGGCGAGGTGTGGGAAGACAGGGCTTTTAAGGAGTAGGAATCCCTCGGAATGTACTGGAGGGCTTTGTCAGTGCAATTTTCTCTGGCCTGTCTAGTGGTCTCCAAGCTCCCCGTGGCGCATTCGGAGACACCCCCACTCGCCCCTAGGATTCCTGCTTCCCCTCACCCACAATATGTCTCTACGCCGGTCCCTAGGGGTAGGATCCGAGGTGAGCTCCTGAAGTGGCCGGTCTCGGGCACTTTGCCTCCTGTCTGCACAGCACAAAGCCAGCTGGGGTGGCCACGAAGTGCAGTGGAAAACTACTGTCACTTGGTGAAGCTTTCTCCCAGGTTCCTCCAAGGTCGTGGGCCAGGCCTCTGAGCCGGAGCTGAGAGACCAGTTACTGCTCCAGCGGATGGCGGTGCCCCTCGCCTGAAGTGGAGAGTACTCTTTGAGGGTGGGGGAACCTTCCAGAGCATTCCTGGATCTTTGGGAATTGCAGATGAAAAGTTCCTTCTGTACAAAGGGCAGTCTCTGGGCTCTGGGGAGATTAAATAGATAAGCTCTTATTTGTGAGTTCCCAGGTGTTTAGCATTCATGATCTCACTTAATCCTTAGGATTAAACCCAGGCTCAGTTAAATGACTGGCCCAAGGCCACCAGGCTCCACTCAGGTCTGGGAGACCCCCACCCTCCTTCCTCCCCCACCCAATGAGAAGTGACTAGCTCCTACTAAAGAGGGGTGAAGTGTACTGAGAGATGTGGTCCCTGGGTGTGGGGACACATTTCCTCCTTTCAGGATTGGTTAAGCCACAAGCTCCCTAGAATCTGGGGACTGCTCTGATGTGGGCCCAGGAGTCTTTTTGCCTTGGGACCTCAGAGCCAACACTCAAACTCATTCCTTGGCTCCTGAACAGGTAGGTTATTTGGGGTGCTGTCCATGACAGGATTGAACCCAGGTCTGGGCTGGGGCTGAATTCAGAGCTTGGACTGGGCTAAGTTAAACCATGTGACCTCCAAGAGTGGGGACAGTGGGAAGATGGTGTGCTGTGTCTCCGCCAGCAACATTCTGGGCCAGCAGGCAGGAGTGGTGAGTGACTGGGTTCAGAATCCCTGGGGGAGTAGAAGTAAAATAACAAACCTTGACAAGAAAATAATATGCAAATAAAGAACAGGAAATTACTCAGAATTGCAGAATCTTTGCTTTGGAGAGCGCCACACAGATGATTTGGTCTGCTGCAGCCTGGGTTCATTTTTAATATGGAAATGTCTGTATTGCTTTTTGCTCATTATAAAAGGAATATGTGCTTGTGGTAAAAATTCACACAAGAAGGACATGAAAGTAAGTTTCCCACTGACCCCTCTCTCCCCCACCCCCCCACCCCCCACCACAGATGTGGCCTCATTTCGGCTCTGAGAAGCCAGTGATCATGGCAGTGCTTTTCATGGCACCAGATTTGACTCTTGGGCCAATGGAGACATTAACTCAACTAAATCCCTTTATGGAAAGGACTTCATGTGGTTTCGACCTGAAAGTCCACTCACCGAAACATTCTGCTGTGTCCTGTCTTGGGTCTCCTAGGGCCACGCTCTGGACCATGCCACTGGAGGTTCATGGCAAGAGGCTGGTGGCAGTGGTCAGGAGCAAAGTCTCATCTTGTAAGGCCAAGAAAATGCCAAGCTTTTGAAGGAAGGAAGGAAGGAAGGTATAGCCAGTTCCATAGGGTTGCTAGAGTTTAATGTGTAAAGACACAAGACACCTAATTAAATCTGAATTTCAGATAATGATTTTTTCAGTGTATGTCCCAAGTGTTGCATGTATTTTATCTGCAATCCTAAGACTCTTGCCTGCCAGAGGACTCGAGATCAGGGAGCCACGGGTCGGTGCATGTGCACACTAGGGCCTCTGCTCCCTCCCGAGCCTTGCTCACGTTCCCTAATCCTGGTGGTGTGATTTCGATTGCCGTTGCTCTTTGGAAAAATTTTCAGGCTGGGGGTGGTCACCTGGGACTGTGTAAGATCATAAGACCCCCTTTAAGTCAAAACAGCATTTGACATTGTTAACCCCTTTGTTTTGAGTCAGGGTCTCACTTGTTGCCCAGGCTGGAGTGCAGTGGCATGATCACGGCTCACCGCAGTCTTCACCCCCCAAGCTAAGGTGATCCTTCCACCTCAGCTTCTCAAGTAGCTGGGACTACAGGTGTGCACTACCATACCTGGCTAATTTTTTTTTTTTTTTTTGGTAGAGACAAGGTCTTGCTCTGTTGCCCAGGCTGGTCTCGAATTCCTGGGTTCAAGCAGCCCTCCTGCCTTGACTTCCCAAAGTACTGGGATTATAGGTGTGAGCCCCCACGCCTGGCTTTTGTTCATTATTAATAACTCATATGACCTTCTTGGCCTGATTCTCCCTGCCCCCTCCCAGTTCCCTGTCTCCTCCCAGGTGCCTTCTTACACACCAAGCTTGGTCTTGGGCATTCTGTTCTTCCTCTAAACTTGTTCCTTTAAAGCAGGGGTCCCCAACCCCTGGGCCGTGGACCGTTACTCATCTGTGGCCTGTTATGAACAGGCCTGTTATGAACTGGGCCTTATAGCAGGAGGTGAGTGGTGGGTGAACAGAGCTCCACCTCTGTCAGATCAGAGGCGGCATTAGATTCTCATAGGTCCTCGAACCCTATTGGGAACTGTGCATGCGAAGGATCTAGTTTGCGTACTCCTTATGAGAATCGAATGCCTGGTGGTCCCCTCCTCCCTGTCCATGGAAAAATTGTCTTCCTCAAAACCAGTCTCTGATGCCAAAAAGGGCTGAAGACTGCTGCTTTAGAGAGCTCGGCTGGCCCAGAGCGTCCACCCTCCTTCTATTTAGATGTCTGGAAAAGCTGGCCTAGTCCCATTCATAGAGGCAGAACTCAGGGCCGTCTTCTCTGCTAAGCTCTCTCTTCACTCCTGTCCATGGTAAGAGCTCCCAATCTAACACCAGGTCACCGCTACTTCATAGACCGGCATGCAGCTGGATCATCTTTTCTTTTTAAAATTCAATTTTTATTTCTACCATATTTATACTTATACTAGTTTAAAAAGTCAAATAAAGACTGAGGCGGAAGGATCGCTGGAGCCCAGCAGGCGAGGCTGCGGTGGCCGGGAGCGGCCACTGCACTCCAGTCTGGGCGACAGAGTGAGACTCCAACTCAAAAAAAAAAGTCAAATACCTGACCTATAGTAGGCTTATAATTTTAAAAATATCAATCCTTCACCCCACCCTTTTCTAGTTTCAGTTCTCACTTCCAAAGACAACCATTCTTTTACACATTTTAGATGGCATTTCTGTTATATGCTTCCATATCTCTAAATAACACTTCTAATTAAAATATTTCAGGGGTTTTTTGTTTTGTTTTTAGACAGGGTATCGTTCTGTTACCCAGGCTGGAGTGCAGGGGTATAGTCATAGCTCACTGCAGTCTTGAACTCCTGGGCCAAAGTGATCTTCCTGACTCAGCCTCCTGAGTAACTAGAACTAAAGTGTGCACTACCATGCTTGGCTAATTCTTGATTTTTTTGTTTTGTTTTGTTTTGGGTCTGAGTCTCACTTGATTGCCCAGGCTGGAGTGTGGTGGCATGCTCATGGCCACTGCAGCCTCGTCCTGCTGGGCTCAGGCAATCCTTCCACCTCAGCCTTCCAAGTAGCTGGAACTACAGATGTGAGCCACCACGCCTGGCTAATTTTTTGATTTATTGTAAAGACAAGGGCTTGCCAAGTTGCCCAGGCTGGTCTTAAACCCCTGGGTTCAGGCAATCCTCTCTCCTCTGCTTCCAAAAGTTCTGGGATTACAGGTGTGAGCCACTGTGTCCAGCTAATTCTTAATTTTTTGTAGAGATGAGGTCTTATACAGGCATCAGCCACTGCACCTGGCCAGTATTTCTGTTTTGAAATCCTTGTGTGTTGTCTCCCTGTTACAGAAGATGAAGCTTATTGCCCTTTTATCTACCTCATCCCACACATTTCCCCCCATTCTTCCCTTCCAGTTTAGTAAGAATATTTGGTTGTTTTTGTTGCACCCGTATTCAGTGTTTAATTATTATGACTGTGTTAATATTGTTTAAAGTGGAACCTTAAAGTGCACCATGATTCCATTTTCCTTATTGGACATCTCCCCCCCCATAAGTTAGTAATTGCCTCATTGTTTAAAAAAAACTTCCTTATGTACCTATCACTAATTTACCCTCCAGTGCTCCAGCAGAACCATAAAACTCCTCTTAGCCTGGTTAAACACACCGGGTGATCTTTCCAGTCCTTTGTGCTTCCAGAGTCATCTGTCCAGAAGGCACTACCTAGGTTCCTATGTGGAGTCCAGAGATTAGGGGAGTTATTGTCCTGGGACGATGCTCTACTAACATACTGGGAGTTTCCTTTGCTTCTTTCTTGTGTTGGAGCCCTTGTTTTTTAATTTATTTCCTTGTTT